ATTAACAGTACATCTAAATTCAGCGGAATAAAATCATTCAGTCACACAAAAGAGTCTCTACAGGATAACAATTTACTAGAAATAAATGGACTCAACGTTCATATAACCAGCCCAGAATGGTGACCCTAACAGAATGAGTTATTTGACAAGACAATCTTAGTGATAGACAAGATAGCTAGACAAATGTTTCATCGGATTAGAGGAGCAATAATTTTTAACCAGATATACAGTGCAAACATGGTAAAAGTACTCTTCATCTCAAGAATAACCACAGAAAACACTGAGAACAGTTCTAAAATGCAGGTTCACTTTTCCAGCTCAGTGATGACATTTGTTTGTATAGCAGCTTTGGCCCCAGAAAGATGGAGCACAAATAAACTGACCTAAATACACATTGTAAAGTAAAAGCAAACTCACTGATGCATTTATGTGAAAGGCTGTTTGATTGGGATACTGGAATTCTAATAGGAAGGTTTGTTGCAAGCACAAAATATTTTAACAGTATCTTATCATGTGTGTTAGTAAATACTACTAGTATTTGCAGCCAGTAAGACAACACCCTCCCACTACACCTCAACCCAAAAAAAACACGCGTGCAAATCCATGGGTGGCGCATGTTCGAAACCAAAACACAATCAGATTCGTCTTATTCATTGGACCGGGGAACCAACAGCACAGGCACACACACACGAAACAGGGAACAATCTGAACACACGACACGGCATGTAAGCATAAGCGGGAGCAGGAGAATCAGCTCACCGTGGCCCGGATGTACTCCTCGAAGGCCTCGCGGTACTTGTCATAGAGCTGCTGCGAGTAGTCGTGCGGGGGCTTCTGCGTGCACATGTTGTATATCGTCCTGCGCGACAAAGGACAGAGACAAGCAAGGGGCCGGGGAAACCCTAGATCAGCACCGGATCAGATCGAATCGGGCCTTGCCCAGGCACGGCCGGAGGGAGGCGAGGGCGGAGGCGACTTACGTGTAGAGCATCATGTAGTCCTCGGAGCTGAACTGCGGCTCGGGCTTGCCCTCGAGGATGTTGATGAGCTTGGTGATGCCCCGCTGCATGAACGCCCACCCATCCTCCAGATCGATCGTCTTGCGGTCCTGCCCGTGGCCCGCCATCGCCGCCGTAGCCGCCGGTTTTCCGCCCCCGACGGCGGCCGCAAACCCTAGAGGAGGAGGCTGGGTTCTGTTGCGCCCGTCGCCGCGTGGGGTTTGGGGGGGGAGAGAGATTGGGGGGTGAGAGACGGGGCGGACGGCTTATGAGGAGGGGAATCCCGTCGCAACCAAAGACGTTCTGATTGGAGGAAGGTTCGCTTCCGCTCCCGCGGGCCGTGCGGGCCGTCCGATCGGCGGATGACGGCTGGGATGAGGCGTGTGCGAGGGGATCGTGTCGCCCCTGTTATCTAGCCACGCGTGTAGGTCTGTTCGGCACATGATTGCGACTGCGTTGAGTTGAACACATGCTTCTCAGATTAGCTCACGTCTGACTGGCCGGTGGGACATGCTCAGAACCATAATCTACCTCCATTGTGTTTTTTATTATGGAAATACCTTGTTTCTGAGGGTTTATTATGGAAATATTAGCGGATGTGAATCTTTAAACTCAAATCTCGATCAAACCTTATTCAATTTATTTATTTATAAACTGACTACATCTCTCTCTCTATCCCAAAAATTGTTGTTGTACTTAATGTACACCATTCAAAAGAGACACCACCAAACAATTATATCTTCAAATCAAAACAAATTTGCAGTGCGTGGCATCTCAATCATCATGTGCTATTCCCATATTTGTGTTTTGCAGTCTGTGTAATCCAAATACACGTGGCCATAAAACTAAATTTAGTTCTCTGGATAATTTCAAGTTAATCTCTCATGAGTGAATAAGCAATTATGTTATGTCATGTGATTCTTTCTCCCGAATATTGGATCATGTTATTGTACCATATGTGAGAATGAGAACTGATGGTTGAGACTTTGCCCCCGTTGGTCTTCACATTATTGCATTGTCCAAGCGTGTCACACTTAGGGCAATCCTAGTGATAGTTTAGTATTAGTCGTATGTAATCTTGTCAGTCATATGCTTATAGTCTCAAAGTATAATAATTATATAGACCAAGTATTTAATAAGTGCATCTCATTTTCATAAGATTAGGGCACTTCTAATAAATTACTATATCTTTATAAGGTACATCATATGTACTCTCTCTTCATTTTTTATACAAGGTCACTTCATATTCTTATGCCTAACGTTGACCATTAATTTTAACAGAATAAATATGAGTTATATGTCATAAAAGTATGTCACTCGATGCACATTTCAATTAACTTTTTGATGATATAGTTTTGATGACGTATAACCTATAATTTGTTGACTAAAATTACAAGTCAAAGCTTGACACGAAAAACAAAGCAAAGGGAGTATTTAGATATAGCTCCTCCAATTAATTGCACTATCTTATTGTTGTGTCTAAGCAATCTCTCATTTTAATGTATTTTGTGAGAGAAAATGTGTGAGTTGTTTTGGTTTTGATGCTAAGATGTTTTCGATATTTCATACGGACTACATACGGATTGAAATGAGTAAACAAACGCACTAAAACGTGTTTATACACATCCTATTCACAAAAAGTTAAGGGCCTCTTTGATTCAAAGGATTTTCATAGGATTTTTGAAGGATTAGAATCCTTAGGAATTTTTCCTACGTTGGTCGTTTGATTCGTAGGATTGAATACTATAGGATTCTTTCCTAAGGATTCACTTGTACTACATTTCACAAGAATTCTAACATCCACTTCAACTTCTTGAAAGAAATCCTTCGTTTTTTCCATGACACAATCAAACAAACTCAAATCCTATAGGGATCCAATGGACATGCCATTCCAATTCTACGTTTTTTCTATTCCTGTGTTTTTGCAATCCAATGAATCAAAGAGGCCCTAAAACTTCTTATAGTATTTGTGGATGGATGGAGTAGCAACTATCTCTTTCCTTTTTATATATATAGTTCAAAGTGAATCGGGGGGCAATTATGTAAGTCCATCCAAATTATGAGTATAATATTTAATTACCCTTTGTGTTGAACGATATGAAAACAAGGTACACCCTTTGATTTAGAATAATTATCGCAACTTAAAACTAAAAGTATGACAACTAATATGAATTGGAGGAAGTAGTATTTAATAAAGGGGACGGCTTTCATCCTCTCTGTCTTCATAACTATATGCACAACAACAAAAAACATGACGTGTTGAGCTAAGGAAAAAATAAAAATGTTGTCATCTCGGAGCACTAGGTCTTTTACCGCTGGTCGTCCTTGTGCTGACCCGATGTCACAGATCCAGTACTAAAATCCAAACGCCCTCTCACATGCATTATTCCCATTTATTTGAAACAAGATCCAAGTCTATTATGAAATTTCACCGCAAGTACAAAGCACCCAAATGCATAATAAAAAAAATACTTCAAGGCTTTTGGACCGTGGAACGATCACCACCACCATCAGAATGAGTCGCCAAAGCACCCAAATGCATAATAAAAAAATACTTCAAGGCTTTTGGACCGTGGAACGATCACTACCACCATCAGAATGAGTCGCCGATGCGTCGCAATCGCTGCCCCCTATCGGAGCTAGACTAGCCTTATCGATCATGGCCAAGAAATCGTCATGCACGTGTAACTAAGGACTAACATCATAGAGTCGTAATCGTTGTTATTGAACCCTTGAATCGATATGAAGCGCCTAACATCATACCACCATCTTGAATCCTTGAATCGATATGAAGCGCCTAACATCATACCACCATCTTGAACCCTTGAACCGGTATGAAGCGCCTAGCATCATACCACCATCGCCCAGAACCTCACTGCCCCAAGAGACAACGGGAATCTACGCTGGAGCTTAATTGAATCCATCCAGACAAACAAACTCGGAAAGGATCAGAGCACGGAAGACGAGCTCGAATCCATGGGCTCATCGGCAGAGTCCGAAGGGGAAAAACTGACCCCTAGCCACCGCTAACGTGGTCCACTTAAATGCATACAGATTCCTTCAAAAACATATGAAATCATTTACTTGCAGGAAACAAACCCAAATGAACAGCTAAGAACATGGATATGTATAGTTCACAACAAAAATAGAATCAACTGCAGTATCAACAGGAAAGCCTTCAAAATACATCAGTGCAACAAGAACCCTCTTTTTCCATCGAAACTCGTCAATGCGAAAAGAACCCCAAATCCCATTGTTCCAGAAGGCGTTGTAATTTCCCCCGTTGAAATGCCACACCGTAGCCGTCAGGTTCAAATGGGCCTCGAGCAAATTTCACATGATCCCAGTTTTGACATCTATGAAGGGGAGCCTTGGCGCAGTGGTAAAGCTGCTGCCTTGTGACCATGAGGTCATGGGTTCAAGTCCTGGAAACAGCCTCTTACAGAAATGTAGGGAAAGGCTGCGTACTATAGACCCAAAGTGGTCGGACCCTTCCCTGGACCCTGCGCAAGTGGGAGCTACATGCACCAGGTTTGCCAGTTTTGACATCTATCATCATCTCTTTATATGAAATCCTTGTGAAGTCACAATACAGTCTCTTGCCGCTGCTACAGAAATTACACAGCCGAAGGTGGTCCAGCAAGAGATACATTCCTTTGAATTATCTTTGTGTCGCAAGGATATGTTACAGGAAAACTATATTGATAATACAATCGGAAAAACTGAACACAACAACCAGTAGGAGTGTACAACATTTACCAAGGCCTGCCCTGACAAACCACCTTCTCTGTTACCAGGGCAGTTCTATCATACAGGTAGGGCCAAGGAACTGGATCTGACGACCTTCATGTACAAATGACAGACGTCGGTGCCGCCACCAGGTTATCCATCTGGACAAGCCAATGCGGTGTGCCATGGCACAAAATATAGCATCCTTAAATAGCAGTAGCTTGGTAGTCATACACGCCAGATGTTACCGAACCCAGCATGGAGAACAGATGATCAAGCCAAGTATCGGTAGACGTTCTGGTTCTCCTTGTCCCTCTCCAGGTAATCCCTGGTTATAAGATCCTCAATGCGCTTCTTTATTGCTTTGAAGTCGGGCTGAAGGGATAAAACCAGCATTCATGATCAGGTCAAGGAATCGAAGGAAATTTCTACATACAATGTACTAGCTTCAATGGTTGGTAAATATTTCAGTCTGGAATATCCATAGTTCCCAAGAAAGAAATTAAGATATTGGGCAACATCTGGATGCATTGTGTATGGTTTAAAGTATACTGTATGATTTAAAATTAATTAGTAAATATAGCTATATATTTCTCATTTGCACTAATGTGAGGATGCAAGCCTGAGGACTCAACAAGCTACACGACAAAAAAATATGGCTTGAATTTGACATACTAGCCATGTAAACACATCTGTCACTGGTCCTACAAAGGCAAGATCAAATGGACACAACCACATTTACCATTAGCACAGCTAACAGCACTAGAAGAATGTTTCATACCTTGAACATGCGACCAAGTTGCTCCACACACTCCATTACTAGTGTCTGGTGACCCAAGACTTTCCGGCTCTTCATAATACGAACAATGGATGCATCAATTGCGTATCTTCGATCCTTGTCAACATCTTCAACTACCTTCTTTTTCTCATCAACTGGAGGCAGAGGTATCTACAGACAGAAATAATAAGCAAGGATTACATCCAGCCGTAACGAAATAGAGGAAGCAAGAAAAAAACATACAACCAAAAATACCTTAATTCTCCTCATCTTGTCAGTAAATTTTGAATTAAATTCAAATACATCATTAGGAGAAATAGATCTGTTACTTGGTTCTTTAGTAAGAATCTTGTATTTCGCACAAGAGAGAGAATGGAGCAACCTCACTACATCGTCATCTGACAGGTTCAGTTGCGTTACTATCTCAGAGTAACTAAGTTTATCAGCTCCATTGAACAGTAGCAACAATGCAGCCTGACAAAGAGTCCGAAAGAAACCATTAGTCTGTGGCACCTGAAATAAAAGCAAGACCATGTACGTGTTTATGCTTACCTGGTAAGTTGTAACAATGAGCTCGATAGTCTTGGCCTCAAACTTTGCGGTGATATGGCAGATTCCCAAGGAATATATCCATGTAAGTTTTCTATGCTTAGTTCTTGTTTGATAAAACTCTTTGAAAACCTCGACACATCTCACCTATTTGTTTTGGGAGTTGTCAATGTTAATAATCTTACAGAGAGTAAGGCCATAAAATAGTTAAGACCTCAGTTTGCAGAAGTGGAGAGCACAAGAAAACAGTAAATTTACCATCTCAGCAGGAAGGTTTATATCGAATGATTTATAAGTTGGCCAAAATCCTGTTGTCAGAACAGTGACCGCCAAGTCTATCCCAGGATTCAATTCAGGGTGTGTGCTTATGAACTCTTCAAACTTAGTTTGATGATCCCTTGCAACAGTAAGGTCGGTGACCATGCCCTCCATTTTTGAAGTAAATTGGCCACCACACTGTTGTTTTAGCTTGGTCAGAATGCTTCTTTCGTGCTCATCATTAGCACTCTTGTCAAATAGCAATCTCCTAGCCAGCTTCTTCCTGCCATCATCACCATGAAACATCAGGCCCAGAGTGAAATCAATGGAATTCCTTATCTTCTTGAGCTTACAAGGCATTAAAGTTATTGTACAATGTTAAAAACTATTACCTGTAAAACTCAGCAAAAAGGTCCTTATCACTGATGTAGGCGAGTAATCTCACTACCTGATGAATGGCCAGTTCCAGATTAACACCCGAAAGATAAAAATGCACTAATGTCTGCAAGTAAAAGAGAACACATAACAGATTGACGCATGTACCTTCTCCAGGGTATCCTCAATAGCTTCATCACTGAGTTTTTCACTGCCGCCTTTCTTTAAAATATTATCACAGAAGGTGGCAAGCAATTCAGCACTTGAACTGCCAGAGACACCTTTGTTGCAGAACACTTCAAAAGCCTCTTTAAGCGCCTGTGCAAAGGAATAGGAAACAAAGATCAGAGAGTGTTCCTGTTTATTTTATTGCAAAAGATGAATCATGGAGAAACAAATAAACATATAATCTGACAAACCTTATGGAAGAGAGTATGCCCCTGGAAACAGTCAGTGACGTATGCTACATACTTGTCATGGAGCTCAATGATTTTCCGGACAAAAACCTAAAACCAGAAATTCTCAGATGGTGATAAATGTCGCAACTAAAATTACAAAAGTTGGGTTGACAGCAATATAGTCTGAATGTACACACCTGTTCCTGCAAACCAACAATGTCCTTCTTCTCTGGCTGTAAGAATAATCAATTGTTAGATGTTCACTTCAAGATGACGAATAAAGAAATTACTTGAAAAGCCGAGTCTGAAGCACAGAGACAACTACTAGACAGAGCAAAATAAAGCATCGACAAGAAACCAAAACGGGACATACTGCAACAACCCATTTCTAGGCACTATCTGACAAGGAACCCAACTGGTCCTTTCCTCCAACAATCACTTGTACAAGCAGGGGGCGCATGAGGCAGGTACAATCAGGGAAGAGGGGAGGTATAAGAGGAAAAATGAAATGAGTTCAACCCAGCCCAGATAAATAACGGGCTCTAGCATGCAATGCTAAATTAATGGACTGGGTGTTGCACGTGGTACAAGCGGCCTTAAGTATAAAAATACATTGAGATCCACAGAAACTGTGAAGTTATAGTGACAATAAATGCGCACCTTCTTATTACTAGCAGCATCTTCTGCTTGTTTCACCAATGCTGTCCCCTCGTTGGTAACATGCTGCAGAATAACATCACTTAAATACAATGTCCAAAACTCCAAATTGTTCTATGGAATAACTAAAGCATGCTTTGCATAAGCAGATACCTGCTTAAAAATTTGAGAAACAGGTTCTAGGCCACGGGTTATTCTAGAAAAGAGCCTGTACATCCTTGAGAGATCCTCAACCTACAACAGATGCAAACAGTCAAATTACTTGATGTTCCCGATTATTATTACTCTCCAGGGATATGACTCTCTGGTTATACCTTGTCATCACGAAGTAATGCATGGCATCCAGAATGCTCCTTCTCCAAAAGTTGGCTTGCATACTGAGTTAACAACTCATGTTGCACTTTCTGAAACAATCCACGAATTATGTTAATGTTAAGTTAACTGATATGCTAAAGAGAGGGAAATCATGACAAATGTTCTCTCAGGAAGACCAACTAGATACTAATTTGTTTAGCATTTTCAAATCACCAAAAACAGTGGGCGAGCGTCCGTGTGTGGGTGGGTGGGGGGGGGGGGATTGCAGCAGAGATCTTTTCACAAACCTCCAATAACTTCGGTTCACTACTAGAATGCAAATAATGAGCAACTCGTTCCTTCTCCCTCTTCAAGCACTCCTCGGCCTAGTGAAAAGGACATCCAATGCACATATATTATTGTCCTTAACTATGTAAACAATAAGGAAAAAGCTCCTGAAACTACCTTTAACATATAGTCAGGACAAGAGTCTTCCACGATCCAGGTTTGGGCCTTGATAGAGTAGTAATCTGCAGTATCCTTCAGCAAGAAATCTTCAAAATCATTCTCGTAACATTCCATACTGCCTAAGCCAATCTCAACAAATATATCCAAGACATTCTTTAACAGAGCCCTGTCAATTTGTTCACCCTCACGTTCTTGGTCTATCTGTTGAAGGAGGATGTCACAACCACATATAGGAAAATTATCTGTTCGGACTACTATGTGATGCAAAGACTCACCAAGGAAATGACTGCACTTTTTACTTTCCCTTTGATTTCTTGATATACCTTTACCATTAGAAAAGGGTTAGAACAAAGAAGGCAAAACAACTACATATAAATAGCTTCACTGCCAGAACACATTCATTTACCAAATCTCGAAAGCAACTGAGCCCAACTTCTCTCAATGCTAGAAGCGATCTACGTGAAATGAAATATCGATCAAGGTAATGGAAGAACCGTGATAGCCACCGAACCATCACTTTGTGGTTAGACCACCTCTTTACTAGCTCCCTCAACATAAACTCGTCATGCTTCTCTCTCAATGAAGGTAAGACCTACATGGAGTCAAAATAAAGTGTAAAGCCAACAAGCAAACACACAAAATGTAGCTAAGACAACATAGGAATGATCAAATGTAAGTAACTAAATACCTATGCTACCATAAAACAAGGGCAACTCTGTTATTAAGCTGTTGGTTATAAGTTATAACCAACATTAGAATTGAAGATTTAAAGGCGTGAATGGGGATATCTCTAAGAAGATGTGCTATTAACAATAAGATACAGTTTTAGATGAGACTATAAGCACGGTGCATTTTAACACTAAAAGTAATGCATAATAATGATTGTGTGAGATAAAGAGGCTCCCAATTATCAATTCCTTGAAACCAAGCAAAAGCGGTTTGCTTAAAAAAAAGAACATTACATGGCGAGATGGCACCTGGCCCAGAGTCATCTAGTCTAGGCTTCAGTCCTCAAACCTACTCAGTCTCCTGTTTTTTACAGCAAATAATGGACCATACACCTAAGACCATGGCAGATTAGCCAATGTGCCGTTATCTAAGATTCGCAATGAAAGATGTCCTTTTTCCATAGAGGCAATGCATCAACCCATTGGAAACACTCTTTGAGACTCATTATCTGTTATATACGACAGGCTAATTAAGTCCTTCAATTTCAGAAAGGAGTCTTTCCTTACTTCCTTATACAAAACTGTTATGTTGTTATGCTGCTCGTGCAATCAAAACTTAGAATAGAAGAAAAAGAGTTCCCTCGGGACCCACGGTCTAGTTTGCAAAAACTTGCCAACTAGGTGCCCTCGGCCTTCAAATGATCATTAACAACCCCCTCATGGGCACTCCCCTCTCTCATTTTTGCGGATCACACCCTAGGCAACGGTTAGTAGTCACAACCCATGATAACTACTCTATCAATTGCTCTGGATTAGGAGAAGAGACATTACATGTGAATCCCAATGGTCAGTTCTCTGCTGACTGTTTCTGGCTATGTTTTTATCAGATATTAACCTGAAACACCTTCTAATGATTGTTGCAAGCAATATCAGTTCCAGATATCCCTTCTCTCTGTAATATGCATGGTAAATATTAAAATATAGCACACAGCTAGTGTAATGTGGAACTCCTATGTATCATGTTTCTTCATACGCACAGAAGTATGTATCATGCATGAGATTCAAGATAATTTTCAGGTTGTACTTTGTGATGATGTTAAAATCCCCTACTAGTTAGCGTAAAAACATCACGCATAGCTCCTGGTCCCACTATTTCAATCTATAACGGGTATTTGGTGCGTCACTGACATTAAAGATGTTATCTGACAAAGAGAATAGAAAGAGGCTATGACTTTAATGCCCCTGCTATGCTATGTGCCTATATATATCACAAACAAGTGAGAGAATGTTAGTGTAAGCGTTAATAAATGACGAAGAGAGAGGGCAAGTTAAATGAGACCCAAAAGAGAACACTATCGTTGAATTTCCATAGCATATATGGACATTCTAATTTCATAGGCATCTCCTGATTCTGGCCTCATTTGGCATTCCCTCTCTCCCTTGCATTTATGAGCACCCATTTCAGCTAGTCATTCTCTTGCTCCCAAGACATTGATAGCAGGAAAATTAGAGACATTTCCATGTGCCATTATATTGGTCTAAAGCTCCTTAGGTCCTATTCGGAACATGGTAATTCGACAGTGTACCCCATAGAAATGTTCCAATGATGCACCCCTAATACACTCTTTCTCCGATGATGCACCCCTACTGCATACTATTTCTGATTCGAATGTAAGTTGCAGGGTACAAACGTTATACACTATACTACTTTGGTACACCCACAACCTGCATCCAAACAAAGACAGAGAGCAAACGAAACAAGTCTAGTGGCCGCATACTGCATATAACAAAACCAGTCCGTTTATGGTATTCATAACCGCACAGACGTGAAGAGAATCATCATCACGCGCACCAGCCCTACAATCAGCACACGGAAGACCCTGCTGCTCACCATGGAGGAGATGTACTCCTCGAAGGACTCGCGGTACTTGTCGTAGAGCTGCTGCGAGTAGTCGTGCGGAGGCTTCTGCGTGCACATGTTGTATATCGTCCTGCGCGGAGCAGAGCAGCCGCGGCGAAAATCAGATCAGGCCGCGGAGGCGAGGCGGAATTCGGGGGCAGGGGGTACCGTACGTGTAGAGCATCATGTAGTCCTCGGAGCTGAACTGCGGCTCCGGCTTGCCCTCGAGGATGTTCTTGAGCTTGGTGATGCCCTTCTGCATGAAGGCCCAGCCTTCCTCCAGATCGACGGTCTTCCGCTCGTGCGTCGTCATCGCCGCCGCCGCGGCCGTCAGATCGGGGCGGGGGGGCTCGCCGGAACCCTAGCTCGCGTCGTCTCGTCGCCCCTCTCCTGCGTGGGAACGGGAAATGGGAGGACGAGGAGAAAGGGGAAAGAGGGTCCGATCTAGCGTGGCGGAATGCCGAAACAGGGAGGGAGGGGAGGGGGGATGGATGGTCGCCGCCACTGCCAGCTCTCTCCGTTACTTTGGCACATGGCTGCCGTGCTGATGGCGTGTCCACTTCACAGCTAGGCTTAAGATAACTAAAAAGTCAGAAACTTGGGTGTATATGCCAACAACCAACGTGATTCGTAAATTATGACCACCAAAGCGAGTAAAACGTGACTTTGGTTGGATGTGTGGCATTGGTTTTGCCTTGGGACAAACCAACGTCTTTGATTTAAATCTCGCGGGTGCAGGTTAATGGCAAAAAAAATGGCGTGACAGGAGATTATCTGATAGGCGGTATCTTTAAAACTAATACAGTCGCTCATTCGGTTCTATCCCTTCTGTCCTAGTATAATATAAGAGCGACAGTAATACTAAGCACCAAGCCCATGCACTGCTAGCACAAGCTACAAAAGCAAATAAATAAACCGTGTGTGTAGTGTATTACGTGTGCTAACGGGGGATTTCTCGTATGTTCCCTAGGGTTGGTGCGTCGCCGCCGCCGCCGGCGGCCGCTGGCCCTGTAGCCTCCCCGTGAGGCTGGCTTGATGTCCTGACGAGGTGCTCCCTCGTCAGCTTTCTCTCCCCTGGCGAAGAGAAAAGCTAGGGTTTTGTTGTCCTCCGGCGGCTTCGCTTCCGTGAGTTCCCCTCACTATCCTCTGGTGGCTACGCCGATCAAGAGTTTTTCGTCGTCGATTACCGGGTGTACAGTCTCCTCATCGGCGGCTGATCGGTCATCATGAAAATCTTAAGCTGGAATTGCAATGGACTCGGGAACGCAGCGGCAGTCCTGCCCTACTGGATGTCCAACGTGCATGTAACCCTGAGGTGATGTTTTTTGTTGGGGAACATAGCATGCAATTTCAAAAAAATCCTACAATCACGCAAGATCTATTTAGGAGATGCATAGCAACAAGAGGGGGGGAGTGTGTCCACATACCCTTGTAGACCGAAAGCGGAAGCGTTAGTTTAACGCGATTGATGTAGTCGGACGTCTTCATGATCCAACCGATCTAGTACCGAACGCACGACACCTCCGAGTTCAGCACACGTTCAGCTCGATGACGTCCCTCAGACTCTTGATCCAGTAGAGGGTCGAGGGAGAGTTCCGTCAGCACGACGATGTGGTGACGATGATGGTGATGTGGTCCGCGCAGGGCTTCGCCTAAGCACTACGACGCTATGACCGGAGTAGTAAACTGTGGAGGGGGGCACCGCACACGGCTAAGAGAACAATTGATGTGCAATGGGGCGCCCCCTGCCCCCGTATATAAAGGAGGAGAGGAGGAGGTGGACAGCCAGGAGGGGCACGCCATGGGGGGAGTCCTACTAGGACTCCACTCCTAGTAGGATTCGCCCCCCCCCCCCCTTTTCCTTTCTTACCGGAGGGAAAAAGGAAGGAGAGGGAGAGGAAAAGGGGGGCGCCGCCCCCTCCTCTGGTCCAATTCGGACTCCATGGGGGTGGCTACCCCTTGGCCTCCCCTCTCTCTCCACCAAGGCCCATGTAGGCCCAACAATTCCCCCGGGGGGTACCAATAACCCCTCGGTACTCCGGTAAAATATCCGAACCACTCGAAACCATTTCGATGTCCGAATACTACCTTCCAATATATGAATCTTTATTTCTCGACCATTTCGAGACTCCTCGTCATGTCCGTGATCTCATCCGGGACTCCGAACAAATTTCGGTCACCAAAACACATAACTCATAATACAAATCGTCATCGAACGTTAAGCGTGCGGACCCTACGGGTTCGAGAACTATGTAGACATGACCGAGACACATCTCCGGTCAATAACCAATAGCGGAACCTGGATGCTCATATTGGTTCCTACGTATTCTACGAAGATCTTTATTGGTCAAACCGCAATAACAACATATGTTATTCCCTTTGTCATCGGTATGTTACTTGCCCGAGATTCGATCGTCGATATCATCATACCTAGTTCAATCTCGTTACCAACAAGTCTCTTTACTCGTTCCGTAATGCATCATCTCGCAACTAACTCATTAGTCACATTGCTTGCAAGGCTTATAGTGATGTGCATTACCGAGAGGGCCCAGAGATACCTCTCCGATACTCGGAGTGACAAATCCTAATCTTGATCTATGCCAACCCAACAAACACCTTTGGAGACACCTATAGAGCATCTTTATAATCACCCATTTACATTGTGACGTTTGATAGCACACAAGGTGTTCCTCCAGTATTCGGAGGTTGCATAATCTCATAGTCATAGGAATATGTATAAGTCGTGAAGAAAGCAATAGCAATAAAACTTAACGATCATTATACTAAGCTAACAGATGGGTCTTGTCCATCACATCATTCTCTAATGATGTGATCCCGTTCATCAAATGACAACACATGTCTATGGTAAGGAAACTTAACCATCTTTGATTAACGAGCTAGTCAAGTAGAGGCATACTAGGGACACTCTGTTTTGTTTATGTGTTCACACATGTACTAAGTTTCCAGTTAATACAATTCTAGCATGAATAATAAACATTTATCATGATATAAGGAAATATAAATAACAACTTTATTATTGCCTCTGGGGCATATTTCCTTCAGTCTCCCACTTGCACTAGAGTCAATAATCTATATTACATAGTAATGATTCTAACACCCATAGAGTTTTGGTGCTGATTATGTTTTGCTCGTGGAAGAGGCTTAGTCAATGGGTCTGCAACATTCAGATCCGTATGTATTTTGCAAATCTCTATGTCTCCCTCCTTGACTTGATCGCAGATGGAATTGAAGCGTCTCTTGATGTGTTTGGTTCTCTTGTGAAATCTGGATTCCTTAGCTAAGGCAATTGTTCCAGTATTGTCACAAAAGTTTTCTATTGGACCCGATGCACTAGGTATTACACCTAGATCGGATATGAACTCCTTCATCCAGACTCCTTCATTTGCTGCTTCCGAAGCAGCTATGTACTCCGCTTCACATGTAGATTCCGCCACAACGCTCTGCTTGGAACTGCACCAACTTACAGCTCCACCATTCAATATAAATGTGTATCCGGTTCGTGACTTAGAGTCATCCGGATCAGTGTCAAAGCTTGCATCGACGTAACCATTTACGACAAGCTCTTTGTCACCTCCATAAATAAGAAACATATCCTTAGTCTTTTTCTGGTATTTCAGGATGTTCTTGACCGATGTCCAGTGATCCACTCCTGGATTACTTTGGTACCTCCCTGCTAAACTTATAACAAGGCACACATCAGGTCTGGTACACATCATTGCATACATGATAGAACCTATGGCTGAGGCATAGAGAATGACTTCCATTTTCTCTCTATCTTCTACAGTGGTCGGGCATTGAGTCTGACTCAACTTCATGACGACCCACAAGTATAGGGGATCTATCGTAGTCCTTTCGATAAGTAAGAGTGTCGAACCCAACGAGGAGCAGAAGGAAATGATAAGCGATTTTTAGCAAGGTATTCTCTGCAAGCACTGAAATTATAAATAACAGATAGTTTTGTGATAAGATAATTTGTAACAAGCAACAAGTAACAAAAGTAAATAAAGTGCAGCAAGGTGGCCCAATCCTTTTTGTAGCAAAGGAAAAGCTTGGACAAACTCTTATATAGAAGAAAGCGCTCCCGAGGACACATGAGAATTATCGTCAAGCTAGTTTTCATCACGTTCATATGATCCGCGTTTGGTACTTTGGTAATTTGATATGTGGGTGGACCGGTGCTTGGGTGATGTCCTTACTTGGACAAGCATCCCACTTATGATTAACCCCCATTGCAAGCATCCACAACTACAACAAAAGTATTAAGGTAAACCTAACCATAGCATGAAATATATGGATCCAAATCAGCCCCTTACGAAGCAACGCATAAACTAGGGTTTAAGCTTCTGTCACTCTAGCAACCCATCATCTACTTATTACTTCCCAATGCCTTCCTCTAGGCCCAAATAATGGTGAAGTGTCATGTAGTCGACGTTCACATAACACCACTCACTACAAAAAAAAGACACATCCATGACATTTTGGGCTGAACGAATTTTTTTTCTGTCATACATATGACACTTCTATGACGATAATTGTGACAAAACCCGATATCATCATAGATGTGGTGGGCTCCTACTTATATGACAAAAAATCATGACAGAAAATGGGCTTTTCGTCCTGGGCGGGCCGGAGACGCAGCTGCATGACATTCTTTGGGCCGTCCATGACGGAAAAAACCGTGGTAGAAGCGAGGGGGAGGAAAATTTCGGGGAGTTCCCAGTTACGATGGGAGGTCGAGGGCCGAGCAATGCGCGTTTCTCTCGTACACGTACGCGCGTGTGTGCGAGGCGTTGGCTCTAACTGAACCCGAGCGAGGCGTTGGGCTCTAACTGAACCCGAGCAATTGCACTGCAGGCTACGCGTTACTGAACCCAAGTGATCGATCGATGGCTGTTAACTGAATC